CCCCAAAACCCCAAAACCCCAAAACCCCAAAACCCCTCTAAAATCTATCGCATTGAAACCAAAGATTACCTAAGTAATTTACCATACCGTAACCATACTGAAAAATATTTGTATCTGGGCACTAAATCTCTGATTTTAAAGCAGCAGAGGTTGTATCCTAACTACCCATATAAACCAAAATTTGAATCATTTTAGTGACTTAAGAACTTACCATAAATTAATAAGCCTTTCTTAAACAATCTGAAACTTTATTTCTTAATTTTATAAATATCTAAATTGATCTACCTAGTTCTCTTCTTTCTAATATAAATATTACTTTCTTCAAGCTCATCAAGAGTCGGAGGCTCAGCTTCAGTGATCTTCTTCTTCCTAAGTTTCTTCAGATAATTGTTGAAAAATTTATCATCCTTGCTTTGGGTGCCTTTGGAGGCCCTGGTGTTTTTACGATGTTTTGGCTCTTTCTTCTCTTCAACCTTTTTGCTCGGGCCTTTCTCCTCTTCTTTAAGAACGAATTCACTGCTGCCACTGTCGTCCTCATATCCAATCTTTTTCTTTTTGGGAGGAGAATACCAATGAGCCATTGGGCATAGATCACTCACCCCACATTCGTCTCAGAGAGGAGCGATTGGCTTACAGATTGTCTGTCCAAATCCAACAAGCATGTGATTGATCTTGGTCCACTTGCTCTTAGGCAACCAATCCTGGAGCTGAACTCTAGTAGCTTCGGGGTTTGTGGAATCTACCCATTCTAATAAATTTCAGATTCTATGAACATGAGTGTCAACAGAGATGCCGTCAACAACCCCGAAAGCTCCTTGTTGCAGTAGTAGGGCCATTTTTATTCCAACGCCAGGGAATTTCAAGATATCGTCTAATTTGGAAGGCACTATTCCTTCATGTTTGTCTTTAATCAGCTGAGAAGTTCTCTTGATGTATCCAGCTTTTCGTTTGTAGAAGCCAACGCCGTAGAGGAGGTCTGCCAGCTCTTCCTCCTCAATTTTTATCATCTCATCAACTGTAAGGCCATGATTTTTCAGCCGTTGTGTTGCCTCGAAGGTCTGTTTGTCCTTGGTCTGACTGCTAAGCATCAGAGCTACCAGCGTTTGGAATGCATATGTCTACGGAGAAGATATGAGAGGATATGAGGTATTAAGACAATTTTGCGAGAAATGATTACATTTTTATCAGCATTTTTATCTCCACATTCATCGCACCCCATTGAATCAACTGGTGCGTCCTTTTTCTCTCTCATTTTCTCAATTCCTTCCCATAATTTCTGCCAGTTCTTAGGTTCTGCTCTCTTAGGGAGTTTAGGCTTTTTCAGTGCTTTCGATACCTTATTCAGCATTGATCTATACCAAAATTACCCCAAAACTCACCACAAATTCCCCACAGTACCTTCAAAACTCCCTGAAATTCACTCAAAACCCCTCTAAAATCTACTCAGAAGTCTCTAAAACCTCAAAATCCAAACTTTAAGCCCCATTTCTTACCTTTTAAACCTTAAAAAATTCAATATCTCTCCTAAAAAAAGGGGTTTTGGGGTTTTGGGGTTTTGGGGG